AAATGTGCACCAATCAGCTTTAAGATTTTGCCTTCGTTTTAGATGCCAGTAAAACCATACACTAACGTTCCTGGTAGATGCAAATGAACCAAATATAGCTCTCATAAAGTTATTTTGTGCACTTAGAGAGTTCATATAGTGTAGACTGTGTATTTAGAGAGATACGACTGTATATACTGATACATTTATGATTAATTAGGTTATTGAAGACAGAAAAGAAAGCCGCTGCATTAAGAACTCAAGGGCAGGCTAATTTTAATTCGAATAAGTATAAAGAATCTCTTGATGATTTTACTAGATCGCTATTAATTGATCCAGACAACGAATTTGCACAGAGATATAGAGAACAAGCATATTTTATGTGCATTGAATTAACGGAAGAACCTGATCTTACTATCAATAGTTATACCTCAAAAGTTTGGAATGATGCAAACTCAGATTTTGTATCAGTTCATGCAACAACTATCCAAGAAACAGCCGCAACTAAGCGATTACTTTCATTGCTTATTAAACAGAAGGAAAGCATTGATGAAGTGCTGGATTCGCAGCCCGTATATGCTTTGGGACCTGACTTTCAACAAGGTTATTCTGTTCCATGTATTGCCTGTTGGGTTGCTGAGCCTCTTGATATAACACTAATAGAACGACTTTCAGCCTTATTTGATAATGAGTTTGAAATTATTAATTATGTAGTAGAAAAACCAAGAGAATCATTAAATGATGGTGAAGAGCAAGACATTGAACTTTCTTCAAATGATGCTAAAATCATAAATAAAGATGAATATGGTGGAGAGAGTAAAAATAAAGATATTGCTGAAAGAAATGAAAAGGATGAAGGAAATAAAAATGAAGATGAAGATTCAAATAAAAGTAGAGATGGAAATGAAAGTGGTAAAGATGAAAGTAATGGAAAGAATGAAAGTAATGAGATGAATAAAAGTAATGGGGGAGATGAAGGTAATGATGATGATGATGATGGTGATGGTGATGGTGACAAAATAATTAGTGGCGTAGGCGATCCATTTATCCAAGTTAAATCTGTAGCGAACGTCAAAGTCGATAATGAGATTCAAAGTTTTACCATAAACACCTATATTGGAGCAAATATTAGCACTAAAAAAAATGTATCTAAAAATTGTCTAGAATTTGGTATTAATTTATTTCTTTGTGGAGCGGGAGAGATGCTTAGTAAAATTTGTGGATCTCTTCAGGGCTTTACTGGATATTATCTTGATTCTATTTCAATTGCAGTCTCCCCAATTCCCCATGCCGTCAATATTTTTGATGAAGCAAAGGCATATAGTCCAACAAATCACGATCAAAAAATAGAACTTTTGGCAGGTCATGAGACAAGTTCTGGTGGTCAAATAGGTTTAACAACACCGCATAGTTTGAGCATTACTGCGAACATTGCTAAGAAAAATAGTCATAGCACAAAAGCAACAGTAAATAAATGGAACATGGAAATATATCCCTGCTCGACTAAAGGAGTGAAATGGTCATATAATTTTAATTCTTACAATCTAAAAGAGACTGACATTTATAGAGAATGGCCGAATCCGCAACCACATTTGGGTTATTGGTACACTAAAGATAAAATGAAAGGATTCCAAATCACCATTATACAAACACTACGTTGTAAGTTCAAATACAACTTCTTCAGGCGTGTTAAACCAGAAATAATAAAAAAATGTCCTAAAATTGATCATAAGCTAGAGATCTCCTTTAATGACTTAACCGACTTCAATAATGGATTTAAAAAACTAACCAAAAAGTTACATAGCGAACATAATGACATTATTGTCGACTTGAAAGACAATAGTTCATTTCCGATAAGTATTAAGAAAACTAATGAAGAGATGGTCTTTCAGCAAAAAGATTATATGAGCCTGAATCGAGTGCTTTCACTGGAAAAAAAATAGCATATTAATTTTGCTAATAACATTTGTAATAATAATATCTACTTATGTCATTTATCAAAAAAAAATCAGGATTTTACAAACATTAAGAAAGAGCTTTATTAAACTTTGGTCTAGTAGCTGAATCAATAGTTACCGAGCTGGAATCAATAAGTTTACTGAAGTCGGTCGATATTAAAAACTTATCGATTCGGTATAGGCAATTTTTCAACCGAATTATGAAAACGGCTGTAAATGGTTAGGTTGTAAAAAGAAACTTCGTTAACTGTGATAGCTTAATTAGCAAATTTTAAAAGTAGTATGAATTTACCGATTAATTTATGAAAAATTATTACGATACCTTTAAAATTATTGTATAACTAAACATGCTCTTGAAATGGTTTAAGTTTATTTGTATTGTCGAATTACTCTAATTACTTGAACTAAACCTTTATTTACGATAAATTTTAAATCAACCGATTAAATTATACATCTATAAATTATTCATAGATATTTACTTTGCTCAAGATAAACTTAACATATACTTTACATATGCAATTCGCACGAGATAGTTATTATAGACATCTTATTTTGCAACCACCATAGCTTTCCCACAAAAAATTGTAATGATATCGCTTTTTACGAAAAAAAAACAAGATTAGCTCTAAACTTTAATTGGTAAACTACCTTTTGCGGCCCAATTAAACCCGTTTTTTGTGAAGTTTACTAACAGGTGAAAAAATATTATTCTAATTCTAACCACGACTATAACACAAGTTTTTTAACTTTAATTTTTACACGTAATCTGATTTGTATACCGACATAGAAATAATTGATATGAGCACCCAAAATTTTGACCAATAACATTTTAGAAGATATTTAAAAGTTTTATAACTTTAGAGCAAAAATAACTTGGCAACTAGATAGTGAAATAAAAAAGCAATATTTGGAAGCAGATAACAGACAGATTTATTAAATTCTTGATTATCTATAAATCAAAATTGCTGTTTATGTTTTTTATCCAAAAAAACTGTTAAAAGAAACAACAGAATATATTTAAAGATAAATTTTATTTATGCTAGTGTATAGTAATGTACATGAAAATTGAATATAAGTTGTAACGTAAAATATCAAACCAAAAATCATTTTAAAGTTTGGTTGTGTCAAGGTTTGAGTTTGAGTAAAATTTTGAGTGTTTATAACTTAAGTAACAATACTAATATTAGTCAGAGAACAATTACTACCATTTTAATAAATGAGTGTCATCAAAAGAAACCTGTCCGATTTTATTATTCATCTTATTGGACTTAACGATGTATCGTAAATTGCATAAAAGAACTTTGATGTTGAGGAACTTAATATTTTGTATATATGTGTACTTACAAATCATAAAACAGACAAACAGAAATCTTATCACTTTAAAAGGCTTTTTATGGCAATCAAGAAACATGAATTTGAAGTGAATACGTCTGGCTAATAACATTTATTTTTTCATTTTATGAAGTATTATGCGCTTTAAAGAAATAATTTTTTTAAAAAATAAGAATTTACATTATATAGAACAATATATTATCCATATTGAATTTACATTATGCAATAAAGAACTGTACAAGTCAATCTTGTTATTGCGATCTGATCTATATAATTTAATTAAATCCAATATCAAGATTTTGTTATAGGTGAATATGGAATATCTGCAAATTCAGAATCAACCTAAATTGGTTCTGATTCAATCTAATTGAATTTTCGAATCCTAAAACGATTTAAGCAGAAATTAAATATTTACCAAAATTTTACTGTTTTTATAATGTACCTGATATATAGTCATAAAAATTTTTATAAGCACATTTATTTTTGAGCACCAACTATTAAACATATAAAATTAATCTCTACATAATCAATTTCTCTACATAAGAATTTTTTTACATAAGAAATTGATTGTTTCTGGTCTTTGTGCCATAAAAATCTCGGTTTGATCTTTCTCGGAGTTACCCTATTGCTGTAGCGTAAATTGTTTTGTATTGTATAAGTTAAATAGATTCTAAATCAGCTGGGGCTACAGAAAATCCTTATTATATAAAAATTTAAACTAACATTATGAAATATTTTAAATCGAGAATAATGAAATTAATAAGAAAAGAAAGATTTAATAGTACTTTGTACTTAATTAATTCTTTCGGACAACAATATAAAAATCCCCTATATGATACCATAATTATAATTAAAAAACACAATTAAAATCTTGGGCATCAATATATGTAACCTCACGTATGAATAATCCATAGGCAGCCCCTGCATTATTGAGATAACTATTCAACTAACGATTAATAGACATTTTTAATTGTGGTAATATTACATAATAATGAATCTCATCATACCTTCATTATAGTTGGACCATGAATGTAATAATAGCCGTGAGCATTGGGAACCAATTCTATAATATAAAAAATCAATAAATTTTGTTTATCGCATTAAATTACCGGCCGTCAATAAAAAATATTTTTACTTTTATACGTTAGAGAAGAATCTCATAGGAACCTATTTTTTTGTGTATTAAGAATCATGAGAAATAAGAAATAATGAGAAACTTATTGTTACTAGTCCATTAAGCATTTATCCGGAAAACTGTCAGATATCTAGATCTGAATTTATTCGGATATCCACTTACAATCGGTATCCGGCGAATTCGAATATCTGAGCGATTTGAATTATTCGGATAATTAGATGTGGATAAGCGGATGATAGATTTATCCGGATTGGAACTCTACATTACCAGCATTATTTGAATCAGGATAACATATTTATGACACTTCAGTAAGCCTCTGATATATGTAATTATAATTTGTAACTTTTTAGTTAGAATGTATATGAATGAATATAAAGGATCACTTCCCCTGTAAAAAGCTAAGAATTCTCCTACGCAATAAATATAATAATAAACTGCTCACCCATTATAGAAACACCTTTATTAAATATCAATATCCTAATGTTCGCTAAATCTGGCAACTTAGATCATAAGTTTTCCCTCGAGTCGTGACAACATACATTGTAACCGGCAGGACTGGACCAAGAGTGATGTTTGTCGAAATATGGGTTACACTAATAATTATTAGCCACTGGCTCTATATAAAACCCAGTCAAATCTAAACACTAATAGCGGAAGGCTTCGATCGAGGCTCGGAAGATTTGGTCCAAGTAATTGTGATTTTTGATTAGAGATTTATATTGCGTCACGAGCTATTCAATATAGAGTTACGGTTTATATAGTTCTTTTGTAACCGAAGGGTAACTACTAGAAAGACACTATTCAAAGCGAAATGATCTCGCTTATATACTTATTTTTACATAGTAATGCAATAAAGGAATAACTGAAATAATACATTATATCATTAATATCAAATATTCTAGCTATTTCTAATATAATATATCTAACATCTTTGGAATTCGGAGAGTCTTCACTATACTACGAATTTTAGAGATATTCGGGATTTCTTGGGATTACGAGGATTGTACTACCTCGGAACAAATCCCGAAGGTAATTTCCCTTTCACATCGAACACCCTTCCCTTAAAATTTAAGTGCTTAACGTTAATAAATATTATATAATGCATTATCATATGATTATTATAAAAAAGGTAAATTAAAAAGTTAAACCTGTGATGCCAAGAGAAAATCGAGAATCAAAAACTTGTAAATTATACTAACTCAATTATACACGTTTCTCAAGGATTGAGTCTGGAACTGCATTACTCATTCATTAACCTTAAAAAAAACTTCGAATGCACTTAAAAATATATAAAAATAAAGGTCGTATGATATATAAAATATATAAAAATTCGTATATTTAATTAATTTAGTATGTACGTACAGTACATACTACCTAAATTTAGGGATGGGAAGGTTTGTTTTGGGTTAATATATATTCTAATTTATACAGATCCTGCATCAATCAAATTTAAATCGAATCAAATCCTGAAATCAATCATCCCCATCCCTGCCTAAATCATGCTCAATCTTCATAACAATAACGTTTAAACACTGACAACGTTTCACAACTTTTTCTGATATAACGATAAAATCCTACGTACGTACAGTACGTACATTAAATTTTTTCAAGATGATAACATTACCGACCGAATGTTACTATATGATATTTTATAACTTCCGGCATAATTATAAAAACTTATTTTCATTTGCACTCGTAAACCGTCATTGGTGTAGAATTATCATACCAATTTTGTGGAGCGAACCAGGTCACCATTTTAAAGATATAAGACTTATAAGAACATTTCTATTAACGTTAAATATTGAAGAACAAACTTTATTAATTCCATTTAAAATTGATCTTCCAAGTCATCCAAAACCACTATTTGAATATACAAGTTATATCACGTCTGTTAGCAATGATTTGCATGATGGAGTTAGAAATTGGCTTTCTTTTAAGAAAGATGAAGGACATGAGCTTGAAAATACTGTAAAACATTCTTTAATTAGAATGTTTTTACGAATTAGCAAAAATCTTAAACATTTACATATCAATAAAACTATTTGTAATCAAATAATATTTGAAAAGCTTTGTAAAAATACTACTTTGAATTCTTTGGATTTTAATCATTGTCAACTGGAGTTTGAAGGAGTGAAAGCAATGTTAAATATTCTTTATAAAAACACTAAATTAAATTCTTTGGGTCTTTGCGATAATCAGATTGGTAATGAAAAGGGAAAAATGTTAGCAAAGTTTCTTTGCATGAACACCACGTTGACTTCTTTGAAACTTGCTCGTAATAAATATTTTGGATCAGAAGGAATAAAAGCATTAGCAAGTGCACTTTGCAAAAACACTACGTTGACCTCTTTGGATCTTAGTGCGAATAATTTTAGATCAGATGGGAAAGCATTAGCGGATGCACTTTGCAAAAACACCACGCTGACTTCTTTGAGTCTTTATAATAATAATCTTGGATTTGAAGAAGTAAAAGAATTAGCTGGTGCACTTTGCAAGAACACCACATTGACTTTTTTGA